TTTGAATGTGGCATGGTAGCCGCAGCATCTGCACACATAGACCTTCCACCTTGGGAAGGATATGAGACGATGGCTGGGGTGGGGCGACTGTCCACGCAACGACGCTGCTTGCACTTCGCGGCCGCCAGGGAACCCGCAAGGAGTGGAGGCGGCCACGCCGCGCGGGACGCAGGGATTGGCGGCCTCGCGCGACAGATGACAGTCGTCGACCAGGATCTGGCAGACGGTGCAGCGCCACTTGCTGTGGCATTTCTCAAACCGATGGGCAGATTGCGAGAGCAGCTGCGAGCGCAGAGTGGGAGTCTGCACACGCGAGTTGGCTGGCCTCTCGCCTCGGAGCGAGGCGTCGTGCCAAAGGGAGCGCAGGACCGAGCGGGGACGACGGCGGACCAGAGCAGCCACACTATCCCACTCGTCCGTGCGAACGGCCCCGGCTCGCTGCCACCACTTGGCGGCCCCGCGGCCAGCCCACTCATCAGCTAAGGCGTTGCCCTTCGTGAAGAGGGGATTGGTAATTAAATCGGGGGACTCATCCAGGTGCGACGGGGTCCACTCGATGGCCACGTCACGTCTTGTTTTTGCTCTCAAGGCCCGTCGGATGCGAGCCCACAAATCGCGATTCTTGACTTTCCTCAGCCAGCGGCCAGGGGCACCGGTGGCCCAGCCCGCTGACCACGCGTGCAGGATTGGCTTATGATCAGTGACAAAGGTGAGCGAACCTTCTGTCTGCTCTATGCCCTCGGCGAGAGCGGTGAATTCGGAGCGCGGCACTGTCTGCCGTCTCCCCTCTAGCGGACCGAAAATGCCAGCCTCTGCCCTCCAAGAGCCGTTGCCGTCGGGAACCGTGGCCACGATGGCCCAACCGCACCTACGCCTTCTGGGATCGCTCGAGAAGGCCCCTCCAGAGCCGTCGCCGAAAAGAACGAGACGCCCCGTGGCGAGGTCACGGCAGCTCCCCCAAGACGGGGGCCCCTGAGGGCTGGCTCCGATGTACTCCCGCCCCCGGTGCGCCCCCCAAGGCTCGAAGTGAGGCGAGGTGGAGGAAAGAGAAGGCACTCCACGGAGCCAGAGGGAGGGGTCCTGCTCGAGGCCAGCCAAAGCGCGGGGCACAAGATGCTCGGTCTCCTCTATGTCGGGACCTTGGTTAGCGGGGCACAACCATATACGATGCGGGAGGTCCTCGATCTGGCCAGAGTGGCACCTGTCACATGTCCGAAGGATCTCGTACCCAGAGTTGTGGAGCCTCTCTCGGGGCCACTGGCCCCCGGAAACGACGCAGAGATTGAGGGCCCAGGATGATGTTTGCCCTTTTGCCAGGAAGCGACGCTGCTCGGCGCGGATGGCGAACAGGTCGGCGCCGTCGGCCAGGGCGGTGCCGTGCTCGTGTCGCGCGGCGTCTCTCCAGAGCCGATGCTGTAGATCATCTCCCAGATCGGCCACGATATCATCAGGGTCGAACTCGAGTAGGTCAGCTCCATCGTGGGGGAGACGACACTCTTCAAGACACTCTCCTTTAACTCGTTGCCAGACGTCCGCCTCTTTGGGGTCCCAGCCTGCCTCGAGGAGAGTACCAATAGCCGCGCCAGCAGGCCCCGTGATCACGGACCAAATGCGCGGGCCAGCCTTCACCAACTTCACCGTTAGAAGCCGCCATGTTCGGCGCATGCGAGCATGAAGTTCGGGATGGTCTTGCCAATAATGAACCCATTCACGTAGAAGCTGCTGTCGAAGTTGATCACCTGGGTCCGTGCCGTCGAAGGCGGCGCCCAGGAGGGTGGTAAGGCAGCGTCCTGCAGCGTGGCCTGCTGCTGCCTGCGCGGCTTGGCGCCGCCATCGGAGCAACGTCGATCTGGAGAGTCCCCGAACCTGGTGGCCGTAGACTCCCTGAGGTAGTGCACCGGTTGCCCAGAGGCCTCTGGCAATTCTCGCTTGCTGTGCGGTCCTCCGCATGCGGCTAATGCGTCTCGTGCGCTGCGTGACCGCTGCGGCTCGAGCTTTGGCCTCGAGCTGGATCCTGCGGGTGCCTGCGGCCGTGTCGATCCCAAGGTCAGTGGCCGCGGTCGTTGCGACTACTGGGAGCCCCGCACGGCGCAGCGCCGCGGTGATGTCGTGGCGCACCCTGCCGTTGTTGGCGAGGACCACTGACTTTTCAGAGAGAGGGAGGCCTGCCGAGTCGAGGGCCTTCTGGAGCTCCCGGCCGCCGTTGGTGACGGCAGCGGTGACCCTTCGGGCGGTGCCTTCCGCGCGCACCACGGTGTCGTCAACAAAAGTCCACATCGTGGCTCCCTCTGCCCGTTGCTGGGCGTGGGTGAGGATCGGCAGCAGGAACAGTCGGGCCAACATCTTTCCTCGAGGGGAACCAGCGACGATGGACTGCCAAGTGTCGATGGGGTCCGCTGTCCAGCCTCTGGCCCGAAGCACGCGCGGAGCCATGAAGAGCTGGATCTCCATAAGCAGGACTATCGCAGGGAAGCGAGGCCGACCTCGATGAGCTTCCCGAGCTGCACGTTGTCGTAGAACTTCTCGAGGTCGAGAAGCAGCGTCCCCACCGTGATGCCCATGGTGGTGGCGGACTCGTCTAGAAATGCGCGGTGCAGCGCAGCTGAGAGCGCAGAAGATCCTTTGAGCGCCGTGCACCAGAAGTCGTGAAGCTTGTCGCTCCACTGGTCGCAGGGGCCACCCCTGATTCGACTCCAAGTTCGGGCGATGTTAGGGAGGACCCCCAAGACTCGGTCGCCTCCAAGCTTCTTGGGGGCCATGGCTGCGATGGTGAGGTAGACCTGTGCAGGCCAGACGCTGTGCATCTCGATGGAACTGCTGTAGCGCCTGGTCGGGTAGTCGCAGCAGGTCGCGCGGGCCCAGCATGTCCACTCCGTTCGCCTTGTTCGGCGGCGTGGCTCGCAGCACGGACGTGACTTGGCTGAGCTCGAAGTGGGGCAGGTCCTCTTCCCAGGCCTTGTCGCGAACACGGTCCGGAGCAACGAGGACTCGGTCGTAGTCCTCCTTGGGCCGCCAAATGCTGCTCCAGTACTCGGCCTTGGAGCGCATGTAGTCAACAGGGTTGGCTACCGTCCTGGATGCAACTCGGACCTCGAGCTTGTCAGCCTGCTGCGGCTTTACCTGTCGGTGTAGTACGCCTGGCTTGGTGGCCCACGTGTCCTGGAGCCAGCTCGCGTACTTCTCGCGAGCTAGTAGGCAGGCGTGGGCGGCTGCTCGACTGGCCCACGACTCGGCGATGCAGAGCAGCTCGCTGGCCTCGTCCTCGTCGTGGGAGCGTATGGTGCGAGCTGGCGCGAGCCAGTGCTCGACCTCTTCGCCCTCGGTCTTCGGGAAGAGCGAGTCGCGCTGGGCGTCTGCGTGGGCGAGCCTGCTGTCGAGCTTGGCCAGCGCAGTGGAGATGAGATCGTCGTGCTTGTCATGCTTGACTAAGGCGACGGCCTTCCTGATGAGCGTCTGCGAGATGGCCCACCATTCCGCCGCCTCATTCTTGATATGAGTGCGCCCTGGCGAGGCCGCCGACTTTTGCCAGCTGAACTTGACAGGGTTGGCCCGACCATGGTACTTTGCCTGCTCGTCTCTCGGGATACCGTGGTGCGAGAGGACGGCGCCCTCCACCGCGGCAGCCCAGTCGGCGCATTCGTCCCGGACGGCTGCTGCCTGCTGGGGCCGCTGCAGGAAGGTCGCGGGTAGTGGCAGCGTCCAGGTGGGCCGAGAGGGGCACCGAGCGGGAAGATCGTGCCGGCCTGGAGGTCGTGGAGCCGACGCGTCGAGGGCGTCGGCGCCGGCGGTGACCTCGTCGGGGTGGTGGTCTGGAGCCCAACAAGGTGGCGGGTAGACAGCACGCGTGCTGTCTACCTCCAGAGCAGTCGGGTCGAGCTCGTGGTCCGACTCGATGTAGTCGAAGGGGTCGTCTTCGGCCATATCCATAGTAGAGCGCCACGTTGGTGCCGAAGAGGCCCTCCACAGGCTGGCCCGACCAAACTGTATATATGCCCTGGGGAGTGTCCCCGAAGAGGCCCTCTGTGCTGCGGAAGAGCGCATCTGAGGAGAAGTGGAGCCAGTAGGCGATGCTGACTTGGCTCTCTGGGAAGTAGGCGCCATGCGGCCTGGCGGCTCCTCCTCCAGCGATTCCCTGCGACCGCCAGCTGGGCAGGGCACCTCCGGAGAGGGCCGTGCGGAGGCGCCGCGGGCCTCAGCCTTCGCAGGTCGGAGCGGCGAGGCCCCGGCGTGGGGTGCCGACGCCGCGGAAGTAGCCCGTGAAACCGAAGATGACGAAGAAGCCCTCTGCGGCGGAGACGATATTGTGGGGCAGCTCGCGGGTCTGGTGGGGGCTTTGTATGCTTCGCCCATGCCAGACGCCCGCATAGCAGGTGCAGTCGGTGGTAGTGGGCTGCTCGGGGCCGCGGTCAGGCCGGAAGCTCTCGGCGTGCGCGGCGCCGTCGCCGACGCCGAAGTCCGCTGGGCTGCCAGAGCTCCAGCGGGATGTGGTACGTGACGTTGGGATCCAGGAGATGCTTCTCCTGGTCCTCCTGGGGCTGCTCGGAGGCCTGGATGTCTTCCCCTATCTGGTCGAAGGCCTCGCGCAGCTCGGAGGCGAGCGCCTCGCGTCGCTGTTGGAGGCGCTGCTGTCTGCGGCGGCTGGCCTTGCTGTTCGGGTCCGCGAGCTTCTTAGGCCTCGCCGGGCAGGGCAGGGCAGCAGGCAGCGAGAGGGCCTGGTGCCGCCAGGACTCTGCCGAGCCCGCGAAGATCTCCAGGCCACAGTGCGTGCCCCAAGGGACGTCGTGAACAGGACGCAGGGAGATGAACTCCTCGTAGCCTTGCTTGACCACCGCGTAGTCCAGGACGGCGCCTCTGCCTTTATCGCAGGTGGCAGAGACGTCTGGCACAAGAATGGTGCCGTGCCATTCCCCGGGGCAGCCTGAAGCGCCGTGAGGGCCACGAGCTTCTCGAGCACAGGCCCCGCGATGAGGTCGTGGGGCTCAACATAGAAGGCGATGTGCCTGTCGCGCGGTGCCAGGTCATGGGCGCGAAACCGCAGCAAGGGTCGGCTTCGTGGTGGCTGGCGCTGTATTCTCGCAGGCCGTCGAAGGTGGAGCAGGCCGCGCGCTTGCGGGCCAAGACCATCTCGCCGCCGGTAGTGCCGTGAGCCGAACGCATGGTCGGAACGGCGTCACACTTGGAGTAGCGCCAGTCATCCGCGCCTATCTTGAGGAAGGTGTCCTGGGCCTTGGCAGCTCCAGTGTGAGATTCGACCAGAGCACGAAGCTGGTAGTTCTTGCCGGCGGAGGCCACCCAGCGCTCTGCCTGGGGGCCCCATTCGGTGATATTAGCGTAGAAGAGCGAGGCCTTGGCGGCCTGGGTGGGGCTGCTCTGGGTGGCGGCCTCGACCGTGCTGTCAGGAGCGAGGCTTGTCCTTGCTAGCGGCCCCGAGGACCTTGTCTTGACGGATACGGTCGCGGATGTTGGGGCGAGGAGGCTGAGCAGCAGCAGCAGTAGCTTGGCTAGCACCCGCTGCCGCGGAGGGCGCTCCCGCGGCACTGGCGGGGCCGCCCGACGGAGGGGCAGCGCCTGCGGCGGGGCCTCCGGGGCGTTGGCCGCCTCCTGCTCATCCGCCACTCTCCGCTTTTTGCCTTCGAGGCGCTGGACGTGCTGGGTGTGCTCTCCCATGGCCTGCTTGGCCTTGTCCACCGCACCCTGGAAGAGCGTCTGCAATGCCTGCTGGATTTCCTGTGCCGCCGCGTCCTTGCGCCTGCACAGTTCTTGCTCGTCGGCATCGTCGAGTTCGTAGTCCTTAGCGAGGGCTGAAGTGCCCATGAAGTCGTCGACAGTGAAAACCTTGGTGAGGTCGATCTGGCCGTCCACCAGCGCGCGGATGCTGATGCCCGTAGGGGCCGCGCTCTGGGTGGCGGGCTGAGCCTGGGCCTGGACCGCCGAGAAGGTCTGCGCCACCTCTTGGTCGGCAGCCTCCAACTCAGCAGAAGTGCCCTGGATCGTGGCGCAGAGCTCGCCCATGCTGGTGCGCCACCTTCGGAGCTTGCCGTGGAGAGTCTCGAGCTTGCTCTCGAGCTCCGCCTGGCGCTGCTCGGCACGGCGCCAGGCATCGCGGAGCGTGGGGGCGGGCGCAGGCGGCGGGGCCCGCGCTGCCAAGCTCCTGTAGCGCGAGGAGCCCTCGGAGTCGCCCGCGGCCTCGGCGAGGACGGCGAGCTCGTTGGCCTTCGCGGCGGTGAGGGCTGGAAGGGGCCCAGGCGGCAGCGCGGCCAGGGTTGCCTGGCCCTTGCCCTTGCCCTTGGCGGGCGCCGCGCCGCCTGGGGTGCCGGGGCTGCCCCTGGCGCCTTTGACGTTCTTGTCGGATGAATCAGTAGGAGAGGCACGTATGGGGGGATCCGCAATGCTTGCAGCAGAGCGAGCCCTGGACATTCTTCTTGCACCCACAGGCCAAGCAGGCGACGAGCTGCTTGCGGCCCGAGGCCGCATGCCATTCTGGATCAGGCTGGGCGGGCGGCGACCCACGAGCTTGCCCTGGCGCAGGCCAAGTGTAGCTGTAGGTGCCTCCCCAGCGACGAAGACGCGTCTGGCGCCACGGGCGGAGACGAGGGTCATCTGCCCCCGTGAAGCCGTCTGCCGGTGCGGGCGCAGCTGCGTGGGTGCCCAACTCCCACAGTGAAGGCGCAGAGTAAAAACTTGTCCGTCTGGCCACGACAACCAGGAAGGCCTGCAGGTAGGCTGCCCGCTCAAGAATAGTGCGAGAGAGAAAGAGGGAGAGAGATATATATATATATATAGAGAGAGAGAGAGAGAGAGAGAGAGAGAGAGAGAGAGAGAGAGAGACACAACAAAAAAAGAGAGAGAGAGAGAGAGAGGGAGAAAAAGATATACATATATATATATATAGAGAGAGGAAAAATATATATATATAGAGAGAGAGAGAGAGAGAGAGAAAGATATATATATAGAGAGAGATTGAGAGAGAGAGAGAGAGAGAGAAAGAGAAAGAGAGAAATAGAGAAAGAGAGAAAAAAGAGAAAAGAGAGCGAAAAGAGAGAGAGAGAGAGAGAGAGAGAGAAAGATAGAGACAGAGAGAGAGATACTTAAGGACATGGGGAAGAGAGAGAGAGAGAGCGGAGAGAGAGAGAGAGAGAGAGATAGAGAGAGAGAGAGAGAGAGAGAGAGAGAGAGAGAGAGAGAGAGAGAGAAAGAAAGAAAGCAAGAAAAGACAACAACAGAAGGGGGCATATGTATATGTATAAATAAACAAACAAAACGAATCAAAGCGGGATGTGGAGGACGGAGGACGAGGCGGAGAGGCGGAGGGAGGGAGAGGAGGAGGAGGAGGAGGAGGGATGAAGGGGGGGAGGGAGAGGCGGAGGAGGAAGAGGAGGAGGAGGAGGAGGAGGAGGAGGAGGAGGTGTGGGGGACAACAGAGGAGGGCCGTTTTTCTCACCACGCAAGCGGCCCACTGCAGCCTGACAGCTGTTACGCAGTACGTAATTAGGCGCGTCACTGCTGCGCCGCGCCACGCTGTAAGTAGGCCGCCACTGCAGCCTCCCCAGCCGTCCTTCACTGGTCGCGGCCGCCGCGCCAGACCCAGCCGCTGGCCCAGTCGCCTGCGCGCCAATCTGCCTCCCGCGACCGCGCGAGTGCCCCCCTCAGGTCCTTCGCTTCCGCCCTCAGGGCGTTGATTTCCGCCGCGGCTTCTTCCTTGACCTCCTTCATGCGCTGCTCGTGCTCCTCCTCCATTCGTTCCATGCGGGATTCCACGCGCGCAAAGATCGCAGCGATGTCGGGCATCTGGTTGGGGGCCGCCACTGCGGCCTGCGTCGGTGCATGCACCGCGTGGCCGACAGGTCCGAGCATTCCCCCCGAGGACTGCGCCCCCTGCCCCTGGACCATCTGCGGCAGTGGAGGGCCCCCCGCAGGCGGCCAGTCGCACCGGAGCTGCTGGGCTGCGGGCTGCCAGGAGTTGCCTGGCGGCGGCCACTGCTCGCCCTGCTAGGGCGGAGGCGTTGCCTCGAGGTCGGCGCGCGCCCTCAATGACCCGTCGGCATTCGCCGACGAGGCCGCCGCTGCGGCCAAGGCGCGCGCTTTCGCCCCTTGGGCAGCGGCATTCGATAACGCCAGCAGATGCGTCTGGAAGTCCGCCGTGGAGGCCCGCTCTTGGGGGCGACCTCCGCCTGGAGCGAAACCGTGGTGGAAATGACCTGAGGGCGCTGCTGGTTGCGCGCTGGGCTGCAGCTGGAGGTGGATCCCGCGGTGGCGTCGCTGCTGCTCCTGGGGCGGCTGTTCGGGCTGCTTCTGGAGCTGGTGCTGCGGGGGCTGCTCTTTGGAGAGCTGCCTCTCTGGTGGTGCTGCTCCGGAGGTTGTTGCTGGTGCTTCGTCTGAAACTGCGCGCGCGGGAGCTGCTCTTTGGGGGGCCAACGGCGCGGCGCCCAGACATGGCGCTGGTGCGGGAGCTTCTCTGCGCAATGGCGGTGGCGGTAGTGTTGCTGCCCCTGGGGTTGCTGCTGGGGCTGCTGCTGCGGGAGCAGCTGCCGCGGGCTGCCGCGGGAGCTGCTGCTTGTGGAGGTGTTGCTTGTGGAGCTTCTGCTGCGGGAGCTGCTGCCGCGGGAGCTTCCTCGCTGTCCGTGTCGGCTGGGTTCCTGAAGCCGCCGCTGCCGCTCTGCACCCCCCGTGAGTTGGCCATCCACCTGCGCTTCGCCCAGTAGCTGGCCGACCTCGTGCTCCGCGCGGCGCGGCTTCGCACATCCGCCCCCTCCACGCAGAAACGCAGAGGCATGTGCGACCTGGCCTGTTAGTCCCAGTGCCTCAACGTCCATTGCCTTCTGCCGCACGGTAATCAGGCAAGCGCCTTGCTGCGTCATGGTGCGTCGCTCCGTCTGCGCGATGCCTCCGCGGTTCAGTTCAGCGAGGCTTGCGTCCGGTGGCTGGAGAATCGATGCGTTTACTCTGCTTTTTCGAATGTACCAGCGAGTTGCGCACGTGGATCACCATGGCGTTGAACTCGTCGCCGAGGCCAATGACCTGTCTGTCAAGCCACAACTTGCAGATCAGGACCCTGCTGTAGCGCCGATGCCTGTCGTGAACTCCGTGGAATTTCTTCCCCCACCGAACGAGCTCCATCCCGGAACCACTCTTGTCGTCTATGGCGAGGAGCGGGGCGCATTTCGGCTCGGCCCCTTTGATGCACAACCAACGATTGCCTGCCCGATGTGCTGGTTTGTCGTGGACGGCATAGTCCGATGTGTCTTCGGCCGCCACTGCAGCCCCGAGGTGGTCGTAGAGGGCGTCGGTGGCTTCGGTGACGGCCGCGATGTTGGTCGGGGACTTCTTCATCTGGTTCCACTCGTCGGCTCTCTTCTGAGGGTCCGAAGCGTCCGCCCCGAAGTTGAAGACAGCGAACGAGCAATTGACGAGTTCTCTTGCCGCTACTGCGGAACTGCTGTGGTTGTTATTGATGCCCGCGCCCCTGAGCTGTCTGTTAACCCGTTCTTGGTGCCGACGCTCTTGCGCCTCCGTGAGACCGTGGTGTTGTTGTGTGCTTTGGTACTCCCAGTCCCGCGTGACTGTCGTCATGCGGGGCTGCGCGTTTATCGCGTCTTCGTCGCTGCCCGCGTCGGGCCAACGCTCGGGCCTCTCCACCTCTGAGTCGCCCGCCTCGGGGAAAGCGTCGCAGCTGCTGGGCTCGGCCTCGAAGTCGCTGACGCCATCGCTCGGCATGCGGGCCGCCACTGCGGCCTCAGCCTCGGAGGGCGCCGCTGTGAACGAGGGAGACGCTGGAGCCGCAGCCGCGGCCCGCATGGGAGCCGCCCGCGCGTCGGAAGGTGGCGCCCATTCGCCCGAGGGCGCCGCTGCAGCCGAAACGGCGGCGGAACGGGGGACAATGATGTGGGTGATCTTAAATTAAATCATCAGCACCACCACCATCATCATCATGGTCATCATCCTGCTCATCATCCTCATCACCATTATCATCACCATCATCATCATCATTATCAGGATCATCATTATCATGCTTAATTAATTATGTGGATGCGTCATCATCATCATTATCATCACCATCATGATCATCATCATCCACTCCTTTTCGACGCCTCTCCTCCCCCTCCTCCTCATCCACCTCCTCCCCCTCCCCCCCCCCCCCCCCTCCTCGTCCTCCTCCTCCTACTCCTCTTCCCCCTCGTCCTTCTCCTCCTTCTCCTCCCCCCTCCTCTTCTTGACCCTCATCTTCCTCCTTCCCCTCGTCGCCCTCCCGCCCCCCCCCCCCCGCCCCCGCCCCTCCTGGAGAAGGAGGGCGACGAGACGACGAGGGGGAAGAGGACGAGGTTGGGGAGGGGGGGGGGCGGAGGACGAGGTGGATGAGGAGGGGGAGGGGAGGCGGCGAAAAGGAGTGGATGCTGATGATCATGGTGATGATGATGATGATGATAATGATGATGATGATGACGATGATGATGGTGGCGGCGGTGTTGGCGGCGTTGGTGGCAATGTATGAGGGGGGGGGGGGGGATGCATGAGTGATGATGAAAAAGTGAATGAACGAGGTAATTATTTTTACTGTCGGCGCACGCGCGCCTCCGCGAGCTGTCCTTCAGCCTCCGCCAGGAGCCGCCACTGCGGCTTCAGGGGCCGCCGCCGCGGCTTCCACGGGCAAGACCAGCGCAAGCGGGCCGCTGTCGTGCTCGCGGTCCTGGAGGAGGCGCTGCGACTCGTTGTGGACGAACCGAGAGAAGGCCCCCCCATCGCCCTGCGCCATCTCGCTGCTCACGTTCCAGAGATACCCCGCGAAGACCTCGGGATGAGTCTGGCCGTGCCGGGCCCTCATGTCGTCATCCCACGCGCGTTTGAACCACTCCCACTCGAGGAGCTGCTGTGCCGACAGGGCGCCCTTGAGCTTCTTCAGGTGTGTCAGCGCAGCCATTCTGGACCCCTTCTTCTTCAGGTCGTCGGTGCTGCACTGGAGAAACATGTGTTTGGCCGCCACTGCGGCCTCGGTACCTTGTGCCTTTCCCAAGGCCGCCTTCCTCGTGTTGTCGGCGATCACGATCTGACACTTGATGCTCCGCAGCGTGGTCGTCATAGCGTTCGCGTCCTCGATCATGCGGCGGCGCTTGGCCTGCTGCGCCTCCTCGTGGGCCCGCTGGGCATTGAGCGCTTCCAACAGGCCATCGCCCTCTCGAGCAAGCTCACGCATGCGCTTCAGGGTCGCCCCCATCTTGCGGCGGCAATCCTGCGCTTCCTTCATGCAGCCCGCCCCCCGCAACACTTTCTCCGCTTCCTCCAGGGCTTGCACGGTCGAGGTCGCCTGCGCGACCTTCTCGGCAGTCTCAGCGTCCACCGAGACGTCCTGGAGACGTCGCCCTTCTGACGGGCCACCGCCTTCGGCCGCCACTGCGGCCTGTTGCTCGCCTTTGCCGTCGGAATCGCCGCGCGCGTCCTCGACATCCTCGCCCCACCCTTCGATTTCTGATGCGTGGGAATCGAGGTCGGAATCGTCCGCGAACTGCTCCACCGTCTCCTGCCCTTGCTCGGTGTCCCATTCGCGGTCCTGGCCCAACGTCTCATCGCCGAGCGCCTCGAGGGCGCGGTCCACTTGGCTGTTCCTC